GAAGGAAGAGCCGCAGGTGCGGCTAAGGAAGACCTAGGCTCAGACCGCAGGTGCGATGGAAATCCCACATCTGTGGCAGTCGCAGAAGCGGATTGAGAGGCGCAGATGCGCAGATGGATCGTAGGTGCAGCTTGGTTCCCGCATCTGCAATGGTCGCAGATGCGGTCAAGTGATCGTAGGAGCGGATCCAGTCTTTTAATGAATTTCCGCAGAAGCGGAGCCCTATTCGCATATGCGTTTTCGCAGGTGCGGAACTAGGACTGCAGGTGCGGTTTTTGCTGGGTAGAAAACCCCAGCTCGAGGTTTTGTTCCCCATTTTCAATTTTGGGCTTGAGGAACTCGGGAGAGAGGCGATTTTTCGAAGGTTTTCAAGGAGAAACATTGGGGTAAGTGATTCTAACCCATAATGGTATAAATTTCGTGAATCCATGGCTTTATTCATCATCCAATTAGAGATTTGAGCTAAATATTTAGGGGTTTAGGGCTTGAGAATTTGGAGAGTGGATTTTGGGGATTTGAGTGACCAAATGAGGTCGGATTTTGATAAATTTGGTATGGTTAGACTCGTGAGTAAATGGTCTTTCGGGTTTTGTGACTTTTGTCAGATTTTGAGACGTGGGCCCGGGGGTCGGGTTTGAGTCGATTTCGGATTTTAGCTCTAATTTAGTAGTTTTCTTGTGGAATTGTTCCCTTTGGCCTTTATTGATTGTGCTGTATCACTTGTGGCTAGATTCGGGACGTTTGGAGGCCGATTTGAGGGGCAAAGGCATCGCGGAATAGGACTATTGCTCAGATTGAGGTAAGTAACAGTTACAAATCTGGTCCAGAGGGTATGAAACCCTGGATTTTGTGTCATATGATTATTTTGGAGGTGACTCACATGCTAGGTGACGGGCATGTGGGCGTGCACCAAAGGGATTGTGACCTGGTCCGTCCCGTGAGACTGTGGAATCGAATAGCTTACTGTTTACTACATGTTCCCTCTGTTTTCATGGAAATTGACTGCCCTTCATGTTAGAAATCATGTTTAGGCCTTATGATATCACTGTTTAGACATGTGAGGTCGTGCACTTGTTGAATTAACTGTTATTTGCTATTTTGTTCATGATATTACTTGCGTATCATACCTCCGTCCCTTCTTATTTATTATTGATACATGTTATTATCTCTGTTTGGGATTGAATTATATATTTTCTGAGAGCCTGAGGGACTGGTGAGGTTGGTGACTGAGATAGGGCCTGAGTGCTGAGCTGTGAGCTATGTGAGTGTATATAGATCGGGTTGAACGCGTGCAACGAGCCTCGGGGCTAATTGTATATAGTGGATCGGGTTGTACTCCGCAACGAGCCTTTGGGCTAATTATCTATATTGGATTAGGTTGCACGCCGCAACGAGCCTTATGGCTACTTATATATTGGATCGGGATGCACTCCACGGTGATATAGCGCTTGGGCTGAAGGAGCCCCTCCGGAATGTGCACAACCCCAGTGAGCGCAGGTACCTATTGAGTATGATTACTGAGGGCTGAGAGCCGAGTGATTGAGCTATTGAGATGAGTTGAGTGATTGAGCTGTTGAGAGTATGATTCCGGAGGGCTGAAGGAGCCCCTCCGGAATGTGCACACCCCCGGAGGGCTGAAGGAGCCCCCCCGGAATGTGCACACCCCCAGTGAGCGCAGGTACCTATTGAGTATGATTACTTAGGGCTGAGAGCCGAGTGATTGAGCTGTTGAGATGAGTTGAGTGATTGAGCTGTTGAGATGAGCTGAGTGACTGTTGCCTTGAGAGGCTCTACTTGCTTTCAATTATTTGTTGCACTTAGTTGTTATTTGTCCTTGTTGTGCAAATTTCTGGAAGACTTGATATCTGATTTACTTCAGTACGAACTGATTTGCCTTAAACTACTAAATTTGAAAGCATGTCTGTTCTTTATTTGAAAGTTACTGAGATAAACTGTATTTTCATAGCTCGTCACTACTTCTCAGTTCCTTATTTATTTCTGTTACTTACTGAGTTGGAAGTGCTCACATTACTCCCTGCACCTTGTGTGCAGATTCAGGTAAGACCGGACGCAAAGGTCATTGAGTTCGTGCGTAGTTGGCTGTCAGAGACATACGAGGTAGCTGCTAGCGTTCGCAGCCCTTGTCTCTCCTTCTATTACTATCTTTTCTTTCTGTTTAGTTGGTGGACTATTGTAAACTCTGATTCTGAACTGGGTTTAGATGCTCATGACTTAGTGACACCTTGATGTCTGGCTATCTTTTCCGCATTTTCTTATCTTGAGTTTAACTCTTTTATGAAATTTCTGATATGAAAAAGCTTTGACTTACCTTTTAATGAAAAATCAAAGTGTTTGAAATGGTGTCGGCTTGCCTAGTACCACGATAGGTGCCATCACGACAGGTTAGAGTTTTGAGTCGTGATATTTTCAGAGTTTCAAGCTCTGTGGATGCGTTTGGTGGGGGTGGGGGTAGTAAGGGAGTGACGTCCACCCGGGTTTTTGGATGAGTTGTTAAAGAAGGGGATTTTGATAGTATGGACCCAATTTTAAAGCAGTTGAGGGACCGTGTTAAAGGTTTCAGCTTTGGGTAATTTTCAGCAGCCACTTAGGGCTTTATTGTACTTGGTTAAGTATCCTAAGAGTGTGTATTTAAATGGAAGGGTTATTGAGAGACAAGTATTTTGGAGGGGGAAAGGGGAGGTGGGAGTTTGGTAGGGGAGACGAGAGAGATGGGAGGGAGTGGAAAAGAGAAGGGGAAAGTGAAAGATATCTTTTTTTTTCTGGTCTCATTTATATTTTATTTTGATTCTCATATTTTTTTAATAAAAACAATACTATCCACGCGCCTTTGCAGTGTGATTTGCACACAATTTAGCCATGTCAGCTACGCCGCTTCCATGTAGGCATAGTCAACCGTCAAATGTATTTATTAGTATCCATTGCATCAAGTTGGAATGTTCAAATGAGAAAAGTGCAAATTCATGTATCTGTTTTTAAAAGTCGTACAAATGTAAGTGGCTAGGAAGTCATTACGTCAAAAATAATTAACAGTATATAGGTAAACTAGATGAGGAAAGGCCCGTATACGGGCCCGACATTGTAATTTTATTAAAATTATTATTTGTTGGTGTTTAGTTAATTAACTTTTGAGGTTTAACAAGCTTTATTTTTTAAAATTACTTTTGAATATAAAAATATTTAGTTTGAAATCGTCTTCAAATAGTGGATAGATTAAAATCATTTAATTTTTTGTTTCAAATTGCTTTAAGATAGTATGGGTAAATATGAAAATCTTGTAAATATCGATACTTCTTTTTTGTTATTGCATTATTTAAAAATTAAATTTATTTTCTCTGTGGAAACTTCTATTTGAATAAAACAAAATTAATAATTTTCCAAAATGAGAAAAAGATTGGAAATGAGCATTTGCACTGCACAAACAATCTAATCAACACAAGCATAATGATTTAAAGGAAAGTTGTGGCTATAAGAATATGGGGTCCACGTTATTTTGCATTTAAAAAATGCAAACATGGAGTTTTTATAAAATGACATATATGCCCTCGGTCAACCATCTTTCCTTTTCTATATAATAGAATAGAAAAAAAGGGATTCTCGTTAGGGGTGGGCATCGGTCGGTTCGGTTCGGTTTTGAATATTATCGATTTTTCCTATCGGTTATCGGTTTACAAACATCATAACCCGATAACCAAACCGATAAGATATTGGTTATCGGTTATCGGTTAATCGGTTATCGATCATTATCGGTTCGGTTATCGATTTACCCGATAAGATAAAACAACTAAAATAATTTCGCAATATATAAAACTGTCGAGTTCTCAATTATCTTGAGCCATAATTGAAGAAATAGATCAGATTTCTGTTGTCTTTGACAACTTTCTGATGCATAAATATAGGATTACAAAGGTGGAATGGAATATGATTGTATTGTTAATAAAACGTGGTCTTGTATCCTTAAGAACAGTTAAACAGAAGTTTACTGCTTAGGATTCTTAATATTCCAAAAAGAGAAACACTTGTTAAAATTATAAGTGGATAATGCAACAACACCAAATTTATACATTTCTTGTCAAAGCCCATTTCATTTCTCATAAAACAGAATCTCCAAAAACGTTTAAAGACTAGACAAACGATTAGAACAAGATCTCAAACAATAGCAGCGCGCACACATACAACACACCCCCCCCCCCCCCCCCAAAAAAAAAAATCCAGAGCCAGAATGCTTTCAAACAAACTAAGAAAAAGATGAAGATGAAGCAACTAAAAACTTACACGCCCGCCTGAGTCTTGACGGGCTGACTGGTGAGGGCGTGATGCGACTGACGAGTGACGCCAGCCTGAGTCTTGACGAGATGACTGGTGACTGGTGAGGGCGTGAGCCGTGAGGCGGAGAACTGATGAGGGCGTGAGCCGTGGGTGAGGCGGAGAACTGGCGAGGTTGGGCCGTAGAGGTGCGGCGGAAAAATTGAGAAATTGAGAAAGAGAAACTAACTTACTGAGAATTGAGAAAGAATAGGAAAAACCAATTATGAAACCCTAGTATAGTATGTATATACTTAAGGGTAAACTAGTAAATTAGTTAATTCTTATTGGGTTATCGTTTTTTACCCAATAACAGAATTGCAAACCGAGCCCGTACCGATAACCCAATAAAAACAAATTTTAACCCGTTATCGAACCGTTAACCTTATAACCCAATACCGATAATCCAATAAATAATTAACGGTTCGGGTTATCGGTTTTACCCGATATATGTCCACCCCTAATTCTGGTACTCACTGCGTGCGAGGCCCGGATTTTTTCCTAATGAAAGCACGTGGCCCTGTTCTCTTAAACCGGTCTAGTTGAAAAGTCCCGGTCCAACAGAAAACCCTGAACCTTGATCATCGCAAGTATCAAACAAACGGTCGCGATTTATTCCTCTCATACAAAGTTAGGGTTTCTCAGAAGAATCGCCGCATATATAACCCTCACAGTTTCATCAATCGCCTGTTGCGGTGCAGTTTTCTCTGCCCTCCCTCAACCCTAAAAAATCGAAAAATTTTCTCTTCATTTTTCTCTCTGATTTCTATCTCCATTTTACCCTTCCCTCTCCTCTATTTTTACATCTCAAAAACAAAAAAATCCCTACATTTTCGCTTACTTTTTCCTCTCTAGTTTTTCTCCTTAATAACAAGAGGAGAGGGAACTTAAAAAAAAAAAAAGGAAGGGAGCTTTTTGGTTCTGGAAGCTTCGAAAAAGTTCTAATTTTGTTGTTGTTCTAGAAGGTTCTGAAGTTAGTTATGGCGCAGATTCAGGTTCAGCACCAGAGTCCAGTGGCAGGAGGAAATGGTGTGGCGGCTACTGCTGCTGTTGGTGGCGCCGCCGCCGTAGCTGCCCCAGGTGGTTTAACGTCGACGTCACTGTACGTAGGGGACTTGGACTTTAACGTGACTGATTCGCAGCTGTACGATCTGTTCAACCAAGTCGGTCAGGTTGTTTCAGTTAGGGTTTGTAGGGACCTGAGTACTAGGAGATCCCTTGGTTATGGTTACGTTAACTACAGCAACCCTAATGATGGTTAGTAGTCCTTTTTTCATGAATTTTTAAATTTATTATCTTTAATAGTGCGGATTGCATGTTAACAAACAGTCATTTTTCATGAATTTGAAATTTGATATCTTTTACAGTGTGAATGCATGTTGATAAATCCAGTAATGTCAAAGTTTAATGAGCCATTCGAAGATTAAAAATTAATTCCTTTTCATTATTGAAATGCCTGCACATTTGACATCTGATTTTGTTGCTATTTATAGAGATCTTCTTAAAAGAAAATAATAATAGTAATAATGGGATATTAAGTATATTATGGGAAGTTGTGAAAGTATTACCTTACATTTGCTGAAATTACTATTTTGGATATGCTTGCAAGTTATTCAAGCACCCACTTTCTTTTCCTCTTTGAATATATCTTAGATTTAACACTCTCAGCAGTAATGTGGGATGTGCCATGTACTTCAAGTTGTCACTTGCTTTGCTCCACTTTCTTGGCCACTCGATGAGAGTGGTAGTGAAAATGCTTGTAAAATCGTTAAAGCAATGTGGTTTTGCACCTTTTTAATTGCTGTATAAAGAGTGATCTGTCTGTTTGGATTTGAATTAAATTCTTGGGGAACCCTTTCAATCCAAAAGGCAATGGTAATTTGCTTCCTGTCCTTTGCCCCTGCTTGTAAAGAATTGGTTTTAAACAAAAATTTCAGCTCGTGTGTTTTTGCCCGTAAAATGTTTTTCTTAAGTATCTTTAGTTCATCATGATGAGGCAATGTTGGGAGCTTAAGTCTGTTTAACTGGTTAAGTTTAATATTCTGTTTAACTTGAAATAATGTCATGTGCCTATGTTTTTTGCTGTTTGGTTTTAATGTTTTTTGATCTATTTTGTCACAGCTTCAAGGGCAATGGACATGTTGAACTTCACTCCTGTTAACGGAAAGTCCATCAGGGTGATGTACTCTCATAGGGATCCCACTCTTCGCAAGAGTGGATCAGCAAATATATTTATCAAGGTAATATAGCTAAAACCTGAATCTTGTATGGTGTTATTTGTCATTTCAAGTTCAATGTTTTTTCTGAATCTGCTAGCTTCTCCTGTTCGCTCCTATTCATAGGATATATACCAGACACAAAGCCTATAATGAGAAATAGGATGGGTTCTTTTCCTCATCTGAAGTGTTGGTGTCACTGCTTCACTTAAATAATTAGATCTGTAACATGAAATCAAGTGAATGATGTTCACACCAGCTTCCACTTAAGCACCCAGCCACTGATATGATCTTTCTCCAATTTTGAAAAGTTTTGGCCTGGTAAACCAACTAGTGTGCAGTTTTCTGCTGGTTGTCTTTTTATTTTTTGTTTCTTATGCATTTGTTTGAATTATTTACACAGAACTTGGACAAGTCAATTGATAACAAAGCTTTACATGACACATTTTCAAGCTTTGGCAACATTCTTTCTTGCAAGATAGCTACTGATTCTAATGGCCAGTCAAAGGGTTATGGTTTTGTACAATATGACAATGAAGAATCTGCTCAAGGTGCCATAGATAAGTTAAATGGTATGCTCATGAATGATAAGCAAGTATATGTTGGGCATTTTCTCCGCAAACAGGAAAGAGAATCTGGAACTGGCATGACCAAATTCCAAAATGTCTATGTCAAAAATTTGTCAGACTCTACGACTGATGATGAGCTGAAGAAAGTTTTTGGTGAGTTCGGGAACATTACTAGTGCAGTAGTGATGAGAGATGCAGATGGGAAATCCAAGTGTTTTGGGTTCGTCAATTTTGAAACTGCAGAGGATGCTGCTAAGGCTGTTGAATCCTTAAATGGAAAGAAATTTGATGATAAAGAGTGGTATGTTGGGAAAGCACAGAAGAAATCTGAAAGAGAGCAAGAATTGAAAAGCAAGTTTGAGCAGACTGCCAAGGAGGCGGTTGATAAATACCAAGGTCTTAACTTGTATGTAAAAAATTTGGATGACACCATTGATGATGAGAAGCTCAAGGAACTTTTTTCAGAGTTCGGTACAATAACTTCATGCAAGGTATACAATTTCTTGTGGATGAACTTTTAGGTCACTGCATCCATTCATTTTGCTTAGATGTTCTGTTCTTGTGTTGCAGGTTATGCGGGATCCAAGTGGAATCAGCAGGGGGTCTGGATTTGTTGCCTTCTCCACTTCCGAAGAAGCTTCCAGAGCTGTAAGTAATACTTATATGTCAAGTCTTTTAGTACATTGTGCTCATTAAGTTGTAACTCTTCTCTTTTTTCTTTTTAAGCTTTCTGAGATGAATGGAAAAATGATAGTTAGCAAGCCACTCTATGTTGCACTAGCACAGCGGAAAGAGGAGAGAAGAGCAAAGTTGCAGGTAATAATTAATAGCCAAACAATGTGGCACTGCTGAAAGGTTTTTGCATCATGCTGCTTTAAATTGTTAAGTAAAACGTGGAATACTTTATCAGTAGAATCAGCTCTCGGCTTTAGTTTTAGATGCTCAGAGGACATCTAGAGTTAGTCTGACTAATGTATGTTTCAAGGTGGCTTAACATCTTAAGCCTGTGTTGCTGATAAGTTTTGATCTGCTGAAACAGTTACCTAGTAATGTATATTGATCAATGCACTAGTTGGTACAGGCACAATTTTCACAACTGCGGCCAGTGGCAATGCCCCCATCACTTGCTCCTCGCATGCCAATCTACCCTCCTGGTGCTCCTGGGATTGGACAGCAACTATTCTATGGGCAAGGTCCCCCTGCTATGATTCCGCCCCAGGTAACCATTTTAATTCTTCTCCATAGTGGTCTATTTATTTGGAACACTCCATGTTAATTCTTCTCCATAGTGGTCCATTTAAAGGAAACAGCCTCCCTACTCCGAAGGAGTAGGAGTAAGGCATGCATATACACTACCCTCCCCAGACCAACCCCACTTGTGGGATTCCACTTGGTTGTTGTAGTGGTCTATTTAAAATTGTAAATGACTGCACATGATGTTTTGCTTCAAGTGTATTGAAATGGGTTTATTACTGATCCATAATCTTATTTTCTAGGCTGGGTTTGGCTATCAACAACAGCTTGTTCCTGGAATGCGTCCTGGAGGAGCTCCTATGCCGAACTTCTTCATGCCCTTAGTCCAACAAGGACAACAGGGCCAGCGTCCAGGTGGTCGACGAGGTGCAGGGCCTGTGCAACAAACTCAACAGCCTATGCCCTTGATGCAGCAGCAGGTTAATTTTTGTTTTCTCTCTGCAGTTTTTTGGTTATCCAGTTATATATTTTTGTTAAGACCTGTAAGCTAATGATGAAAGACTCATTCTGCAGATGCTCCCAAGGGGAAGAATGTACCGCTATCCACCAGGACGTAATGGACCGGAGGGGCCAATGCCAGGCGTTCCTGGGAGTATGCTTTCTGTTCCATATGACATGGGTGGCATGCTTCCTCGTGATTCTGCAATGGGACAGCCCATGCCAATTTCAACATTGGCTTCTGCCCTTGCAAATGCACCACCTGAACAGCAGAGGACGGTGAGTTATTGACATTACAGGTTATCTCTTCGTGACTGAACTAGTGATTTAACGCTCTCCTCTTGGCAGATGTTGGGTGAAAGTTTGTACCCACTTGTTGATCAGCTGGAGCACGAGCATGCAGCAAAGGTTACAGGCATGCTTCTTGAAATGGATCAGACTGAGGTTCTGCATCTGCTTGAGTCGCCAGAGGCGTTGAAGGCTAAAGTTGCTGAGGCTATGGAAGTTCTGAGGAATGTTCAGCAGACCGCCAGCCCGGCTGACCAACTTGCCTCACTTTCCCTCAATGACAACCTTGTTTCTTGAGCGAGTCAAGGTGGTCCAGTGACTGCTGAATGCAGGTTTTTTTTGATGAATCATCTCCTCTGTTGTGAGAGGAGGATATAAACAGATTTTGCAGGGATGAGTTTTGGGAATACTGCTAGGGTTTTCTCGGGATGTTTTATCTAGAGTATGAGATTATTTTTGGATTCTTAAGATTATGCTTTTATGTTATGTGGTCCAGGGATTTTAATTCGTCCTGCTTGCGCTCTTTTACTTTGCATAGGTCGCTTTGCATGTAGGTGAAGTTGCTTAGGGAGCTGTGCTTAAGCTTTATCTGCTAGACTCTTCCCCTCACCCCCTCTAAATAGGAATTAAAATTCTTACACATCAAGGGTGTGTTTGGTACGAAGGAAAATGTTTTCCATGAAAATGTTTTTATGGAAAATGAGTGGTTTTATCACTTATTTTCTCTTGTTTGGTTGGTAAATGGAAAATATTTTCCGGAAAATATTTTCTATTGTTTGGCTAGAGTAGAAAATAGTTTTTTTTAGGAAAATAGTTTTTATGCAACTCTCCTCCCCCTTCCCCCCACCCCACCCCCTCCCCTACCCCTTCCTGAAGTCTCTAAAAATTGATACAATTTAAAGGAACTAATGTGATGCTTTACTTTTTAACGCAAAAATCGCGTATTTTTGAAACCGTAAACTTTATAATTTTTAAATCCCTAAACTTCCAAACACATAAACTTCTGAAGTTATAATTTTGGAACTTGTAAAATTTTGAGCCTTTTAAATCGATAAATAATAAAATTAAAAACTAAAAAATATATTTTAAATTTTTTCGGTGGGTGGGGGCTGGGGGTGGGGTAGGGTGGGTTGGTGAGGGTAAGAAAGGTTGAGAAGGAGCTTTGGAAAATGTTTTCCTTCTTTTAATAAGGAAAACATAATTGGAGGAAAATGAATTGATAAGGAAAATGTTTTCCAAAATATTTAAACCAACCAAACATGGGAAAATTGAAAAACATTTTTCAGAAAATGTTTTCCTTCATACCAAACACACCCCAAGTTTGTTATATTCGTGTCGTCAAAGCTTAGAACTTGCAGTAAGGTTTACTTAATGTGGGGGGAGCTGGAATTTGAAGCATCTCCTGTTTTATTCTTATTCTTCTTGTTCGTCTTAATGAAAGTAACTAGTATAAGTTTATGAGGTAAGGACGGATTTCGTAACTTGATTCCCTTCAGTCTACTTGGGAAGTCGATATCCTGTTATCTTGATTCTTTTAGAGACCAAAGTGATCAAAATATGTCAGTGAGGTATGGTTTAGCAGAGTGCTTCACTTTCCGCAAAACAAAAAAAGATGAACTACTTGAGGGACGGTCATATTATCCATCATAATTTTGGATCATATTAAAATGGAGAAAAAGGAATTTCACCATGTAGAGCCTTGACGCGTGGTATTTTCCTATTAACCAATTGTGCTAGGCAGAATCGAGAACTCTCTCACTTTTCTATACAGGGAAGTTTCTTTATGAAAGCTAGTTGGCTATACTTAACCCTTATTTTGTTGTTAGAAAAGAACTGTATTTGTTGTTTAATTTCTGCTGGGAACTCCATTTCTTTTTTAGATGGACGTTATCTGAGTAAATGTTCCGACTCGTTGAAGCAACTTCAGGATGCGCTGACCCAAAAAAAAAAAGGATGCGCTGACTCTTACATATAAGGAGTTTTTGGTTCTTGTACTATATTTCCATGTCTTTATTGTAATAAAAGGAATAACCACACATGGTATTGCTAATTAGTAAAACGTGACACATCTTATGAAATAATTAACTAGATAAAAGTTTTCTTTAATTAAAATTTAGATGAATCCGATAAGTATGTAAGAGTAACCACAAGCTGGTTGTGGCATATATTAGTACTAATTATAAACAAAAGTATATCAACTTTAATAATTTAAACTTTTAAATGAGGCAACCACTCAAGGTCGTCACTGAGTTCAACATTTGTCATGCATTTTTATATTCACTGTTATCAAATTAACCTTGGTTAAGTTACATAAAAAAGATCAGAACAAAATACTTCAAAAATCCATAGTAGGCATTCATGGTGAGCAAACACAAATGGAATATATAAATAAATAAATAAATGCTAAACAGCAACTCAAATATGCACGTTAAACCATAACAGCAATATACATTCTTATTACTTCGAGTTTGTTTGACCAAGTTTCTATGAAGTTGAAAGTATTTTTTTTTATTTGCCAGAAAAATATTTATTTGAAAATATGAGGTGTTTGGCTAAACAAATAGTAAGTGCTTTTCAATCCAGAGGCAGTTTTTTTACTTTTAGAAAGAAACTACAAATTATAGCTTTTTCCAAAAAGCAAAAGCATAAAATTAATTTTTTCAAGATAAAAATATCCTTACCATAAGATCATATTTTCTGAATTATTCTTTTTTAATTTAGCTTTTACTTTTTATCTCTACCATTCCTTTCTTCTCTTTTTTATTTTATCTTATTTTTGTTCTCTCTTATTCGTATTTGGAATAATCTCTCTACTAACTCCTATTACTCATCTACTATAAATATATCTCTTTTTTTCCTTCCGTTGTTTATTCTTTTGTTCGTCTCCTAACTCCTATTACTCATTTAAATAACAAGGCTAATTACCAGATTCAAGCACTTTTTTCATAAGGTATAATTTCTTTTTTATAGTATACTAATATTATATGATCTCCGGTTTGTAGGTTTATTTATATTGTCATTCATATAATAAAGTTGACATAATAGAATATTACCTAGTTATTTTCTCAATAATGATAGTGTTTTCAAACATGTAACTTGTAAGCAGATATGTTCTTACCAATATTATTGCTTTTACATACTTATATTTTATATTGATTAAGGTCTTTAATATATATTACTTTATGTTTTATACATCAATTACATAGAATTAAAAAATTAATTAATTTTTATAATAAATATTTAAAATTTCTCTTTTTTGAATAATACTAATTGTAAACTAAACCTCTACCGTCCTTTACCATATACCCAAAAGTACTTCTTGCAAAGATTGATTAAACACAATTTGCTTATAGAATATTACAAAAAGTATTGCTCAAACGAATTGGTTAACACAAACTGCTAATCTCTAAAAACTTTTTCGAAAAGCACTTTTGCTTTTCAAAATAAGTATTTTGGCAGCTTGGCCAAACAGGTTCTTAATTTTTGAATTATTTCACATTGATTTTAGAGTTGAATTAGCCAAATTCAATTCTTGGTGTATATAAATCTTTTTCTCTTTACCTAGAATAAACTTATTCATTTCTGATATTTATACCAAATCATCTTAATCAATATTTATATCTATCTATCTATATCTGTATATATACACTATATTAAAAGCATGAACACCCCTAGCGAAATATCGTTCGCCTTTTTTATCCTTAAAAAGTATGCTTCATACTGGACAAAACAATAATTTAGTCATTTTTCTAATTTATAGGACTTCAAAATTAGTTAAAATTTTGGTTATTAAATTCTTCCTTAATTGACATATTATCTTTTTGTGTAACGATGTTAAATTTTCCTAAATCCCCTTTTATAAATAAAAACAACTAATATTTATGAGTTTAAGATCATTAATGAATTTGCTATTTCTATTCTTGAACAAAGAAAGTTCAGTGTAAAATCTATATGAATGGAAATTTTTTAAAGCCTACGAACTCTAAAGCTTCCAAAAATCCTACCAAATCTGGTGGCTATTCACCTAAATATAAAAGGTCACCAAAAGAAGATATTCCTTTTTCATTGATTCAATAAATGACTTAATATAGTTTTTCATATATTGAATTATTTATGTTAGTTGATAAATCTTTGAAAAATTATGATCAAAGCATATGAATTAACAAATATCCATACTTTTAGGATTTAATATTAGGCCACACAAATAGTAGTATAAAATATTGTGCATTTTCACTCTTCTTCTTCGAAATGCTCTCGGCGCACGTTAATTAAACGTACGCCGCTAGTGTAGCCATGGCGAAAGGGAGAGGCAGGGGAAGGGGTCGACCGCATAAATACCCATTAACTACTCTTGTAAACTCGCTGAGTATTGGAAATCAGCCATTGACGGAGAAAGTAGCTCCAGTAGCTACTCCACCAGCTTCAACTCAAAATCCAGATCCAGCTAAAGAAGGTGCTGCATGTGAAGTTGGCTCTACTTCGAGCCATCCTAACATCTCTAAGAGGCTAGATCTAACCTCGCCAGTGTCAGTTGGTTCTATAGCAGCTACTTTGACAGTTCCAGCCAATGGAACAGTAAATGTGCACAAGCCAGCTCAAATTCAAGTAAATTCATCGGAGAAATCAGCTGAGGCAGAGGTGGTAAGAGTAAATGAAGTTGAACCTAAAGCTTCATGGGCAACTTTGTTCCAGAAGAATCCATTTGCTACAAATGGTATGTCACTCTCCTATATCCCACCACAAATGGTAGATGGTCAGCCAATGGTTCAATTAGACAAATCAGAGGTAGAAGTGGAAGAAAACAAATGGAAGTGTGCTTTGATTGCCTATTTTTTAGGAGATGGACCAGGGTATAATGCGATGAAGAGATATATTAATTTGCACTGGTCACATGTACCTGAACCTGATCTGTTCTATCATGATGAAGGCTATTACATAATCAGATTTCAAACCATTGAAGATGCTCATGAAATTCTTTGTACCGGACCTTATTCAATAGCCAACAAGCCTATAATTCTAAAATCATGGACCCCTGATTTTGATTTCACGGAAGAGTTTCCTGCTATTATTCCATTGTGGGTAAAATTTCCTAAGTTGCCTATGTCCTGTTGGGAGTTGGCTCACTCAGTAGAATTGCTAGTGTGATTGGAAGGCCTATATTTGCTGATGAGTGCACCACTAAGCAGACTCGAGTATCCTTTGCTCGGATGCTTATTGAGGTTAATGTTACTACAGAGCTGCCAACTGAAGTTATGGTGATGGATCCAACTGGAAAGAAGTTTTTATAAGGTGTTACATATGATTGGAAACCTGCCTATTGTGAGAAATGTTTGGTTGTGGGACACAAGTGTTCTAATCAAGAAAAACCTATGATACGGCAGTCACTCCAGCCTAAGAAAGTAAGGAGTAATAAGGTAATCATACAAGAATGGAGAACTAAGGGTCCTATGCCTAATGCACCTGTGCCAAGGAATACATCCTCATATGAGACTTCACAACAAACTGTCAC